TAAAGTTTACGAAAAAGTACAAAATCCTCCTCCAAAACTCCCTCTCTTAGCGGTCAACTTTCGTTTTAAACCCTTCCAAACCTTATAACTGAATAGTACTTTCAAAGACGATTATAATGAATATAAAATCGTTAATCAAATCTTGTTTAGTGTCGAAGAAATTTTATCTTCCAAAAACCCAAAAAAGTGTCAGCTGTCTATCATTTAAAATGGAGAAACTTGGAGACCCCAAATTGCCCACTCCATTCGGATCTCTCCTCAAAGTTTTTAAACTTTTATTAAACTAAAAGCTGTGCCTATTGGTACAAGTCCTACAAACTCTGAAAGCTTCATTCGATTCGCATGAAGTCGGCGTAAAGTCGGGTACGTTCCCGAAAGAACAATCCACTAAATATATGCATAAAAGGCGGAATTTCATAGCAAAATCATAACAGATAGTTCTTTCAAGTTCTTGAAAGATCTTTGAAAAGATTACAATAGTTTTATTTTTTTATGTATATGCTCTATCGTTTTATCTGAAAACATGGTTATCTCGGCAACATCGATCAATAGATGGCGTGAAAATTTTGATTGGATGATTATTGGAGGACTTGAATATATGTTTGTAAAATGGCGTTACTTTTCATCATTATTCTATATTTAATTCGAATTGTTTAATCAATTTTCTCCGATTCAGATTACATTCAAGTCTTATTTTTAATTCGTGAGTGTTTTGTGTGTTTTATTTTTTATCTCTTTCGAATTCAAATAGAAGTTCCTAATCGAGAAGGAAACGAAAATATCTATAAAATTTTCTTCTTGATTGAAATTACAAAAAACAAAGAAAGAATTGTCCTTATTTAGAAGCTCATCTACGTACAATATCAATCCTACACACAAACAGACGTTTCGTTTTCCATGGATTCGTTTTTGTATTTTGAAAATATCATAGTTTATCATTCTAGGAGTGGTTCTACACAATCAATTCCTATTTTGTATTCTTTAAAAAAATGATCAAATTTATAATTGGGTTTCTCTTCTTTTCTTTTCTATAGGCACCCTTTACCCTCTATATTATTCGATTTGATCAAGGTAAAAATTATTCTAAAGGAGAAAATAAATTATATTTATTTATTTTCTTTTTTTCTAGATAGGAAATGGCTGATGATACTGAAATTGAACGTATGCTTGAAGAAAAAATGCATGAAGATGAACAAATAAATAAACATCAAAATGGAGAAAAAAAGGATAAAGATAAAGATAAAGACAAAGATAAAGATAAAAAACATAAAAAACATAAACATCACAAACATCATAAAACACATAAAAGTGATAAAAAACATGATCGAAAACGAAGTCGTTCACCAATTAATGAACGTCGTCGTCGTTCACCAACACCACCAACATTATCCAGTGGTAAACGACGTGATGTTAATTCTGAATTACATCAATTAGCTCAAACATTAAATCGACAAAGCAATTCAAAAGATCATTCAACATCAAAATCAACTCGTCGTGAAAAATCACCCGAATTAACACCAGAAGAACGAGATCTTCGGACAGTATTTTGTAAGTCAAAGTTTCTCAAAAACTATTCCAGAATTGATTCCTATTGTATCTAAAGCCTTAAAAATGTAGTATGGATGTTTGCAGGAGGACGCTGAGCTGAAAGAACTTCAATTTATTTTTAGTTCGAATTGATTACTTCTAGTTTATGAAATTATCTATCTTTATCTTTAGGTATGCAATTAGCAGCGATGATTCGACCACGTGATCTTGAAGAATTTTTTTCACGTGTTGGTAAAGTTCGTGATGTACGTTTAATTACAGATCCTCGAACACGTCGATCAAAAGGTGTTGCTTATGTTGAATTTCGTGATTTAGCCTGTGTTCAAGCGGCTCTTGCTTTATCTGGTGAAAAAGTTCTTGGTATACCAATTATTGTTAAACCATCGAATGCTGAAAAAAATCGATTAGCAGCACAAGCAGCTGCAGCTGCTGCTGCTCAAAATTCAGTTATGACTAATGGTATAACAGCACTTTCTGGAACAGTTGTACCAACACATGGACCTATGAAATTATATGTTGGTTCATTACATTTTAATATAACTGAAGATATGTTACGTGGTATATTTGAACCATTTGGACGTATTGATAATATTACACTAATGAAAGATCCTGATAGTGGTCGATCAAGAGGATATGGTAAGTAGAGAAAGAATGTTTTTTTTTTATAAACTAGAAAATAATGTTTTTTAGGTTTTATTCAATTTGCTCATGCAGAAGATGCTAAACGAGCAATGGAAAATTTAAATGGTTTTGAATTAGCTGGACGACCAATGAAAGTTGGTCATGTTACTGAACGACCAGGAGATGTGACTGGTTCAGTCGGTACAACATTTCCAACATATACCGGTGGTGTTGCATCATCATTTACATCTTCATCGAATCTTGATTCTGATGATCTTGACCATCGTGGTATTAATTTAGGTGCAACTGGACGTTTAGCTTTAATGGCTAAATTAAGTGAAGGTAGTGGTTTACAAATGCCAAAACATGCTATTGATGCTTTACAAGCTGCACATATGCAAGCAGCTGGTTCTCAACATGTTCGTATACCTGAACCACCTAATCCACAACAATTAGCAACAGTAACAGCTGTTAGTACACTATGTTTTATGCTTTCAAATATGTTTGATCCAACTACAGAAGCTAGTCATAATCCCGATTGGGCGAAAGAAATTCGTGATGAAGTTATTGAAGAATGTAATAAACATGGTGGTGTTGTTCATATTTATGTTGATGAAAAAAGTTCGGATGGAAATGTTTATGTTAAATGTGCGACTATTGCTAGTGGTAAGTTTTCTATGATTTATCCATAACCTTAAGATCTTACAAAGAAATCTTCTACAGATACATAGACCTTCACTAGAAAATTTTAGGCATTTTTCTGTAATGTTAAACTAGAAATGGTATGTATAAAAGAATTGATCTATCTGTAGGCATGTTTTCGATTCTTTTGTACATGCTGTGATATTGACTAAAATTTAAGAAAAATGACTATAGACTCTTATCCTTTGGAGATTTTTAATATTTCATTGAGATGTACAGATGATAAACGTGAGTGAAAAAATCAGTAGTAGATCTAGGATTTTGGTGAATAACGATGATCTTCTACTCTAAAACGATCATTTCAATAAACTAATGCAATAATATTATTTTCTTTTTAGCGATCAATGCAGTCAATTCACTTCATGGTCGATTCTTTTCTGGTCGTACTGTCGTTGGAAATTATATACCAACTCAATCTTATCATAAACTTTTTCCTGCAGCAAGTACAGCGACAACACCTCTTACTCCTTCATATCATTAGATTCTCCCGATTTACAAAAAAAAAAAGAAACATCATTCCAGTCAGAAAGAGAAAGACTGTATTCAATATATATATATATATGTGTGTTTATTATTTCATGGCAAAAAAAAAACTTAACAATTACTGTTTTTCCTTTTTTTTTTGTGTATGTCTTTGCAAACTAAAATGGTTTCGAACGAGACAAAAAAAAAACTGTGCGTGCGTGTACGACTAAAGAAACAAAAAAAAAATGTTTGACTTTGAAAAAAATTTGTTTTTTTTTTTGTTCTACTGAAGATAACTAATGTAAAAAAGAAAAGACCAATGACAACAGTTTTCTCGCCAACAATATAATCGATATTAAATGAACTAATAAAATTCAGAATACGATTGAATTTATTGCTAAGAAAAGAAAAAAACCTTTTTTTCTTATGGTTTAGATAAAGCATACGAAATAGAATCGATTATTATCAATGAAAAATTTAATATGTATTTCAATAAAATAAATTTATAATATCTAATGACGATAGTATCTATGCTACTAGCAGAATAAGGTAACATTTGACAAAAAAATAAGAATATGAACTTAAAATTATTTATTTCGGGTTCTTTTCTTTTCGTTGCGATCTTATGTAAGGGTTATAAATAATCGTACGAAATTCGATTGTATTCGTGTATTACCTTTTTTCCTTTCACTTCATGTTAGTTTGTTCCGTTCTGTCGTTATATTATCGCTACTAAAGGAAAAGAAGGAGACCAGTATTTGTGATCACGCCATTATCATCTGTTTAAGCTGACTGATCTATATTTATTATATATGTATATACTTATTTGTATGAATATCATTTTCTTATCTTCTATCCAGATAGATAAAAGTAATAAATAAAAATATCAATGACAACAATGTTTATGGGCAGTGTTTCTTCTTGTTCATTACGATCTGTAAAATTATTTACTTTTGGTTGTACATTAGCCGTTGTACTTATGACATTTCAATATGAACATAAATTACGATTATTTAATTCTCCTCGTCTTATGCTTACTCTACCTAGTTTGAGTCTCATATCGATATGTGGTTTTGGTGCTGGTAATTTTTATAAAATTCTTCGTTGTTTTCTTCTTATTTTATTTTCTATATTTGTTTCTTTTTTTTTTTTTTATAACAGCATTAGTCGGTTTTCTTTATCCTATGGTTATTACTACGATGGAACGAACGTCTTTTCTTGAACATGATAATAGTGTAGTACGAAAATCTGAAGTTTGTAAATCAGTTGTAATATTCGTTGGAATTAATCATTTATGTGTTGTAAGTTGAATATATATATAAATATGAATAAAATATCGTAAAATTAAATTTATTTTTCATAGAAAATTCCATTTCAAAGTGATCTTCATTTTACATTAACATTAGCCTTTTTCTGTATAGCATTTTGGTGGTGGTTTGATCGAAGTATAATAAATTTTATATTTTCAATTCTTATTTCATTAATATTAACAATGACGATAGAAATTTTATTACGTGCTGGTGCACTTCAGTAAGTTGATTTGTTCTTATAAATGAATTCTAAATATTTGTTTAAATATTTTTTATTAGATATACATATTCAGATTTTTATTTAAAAACTTGTGTACCTTGTCTAACATTTGCTGGTGCTATTCTTACAATTCAAATAATTAAATTACTATCACAAGTATGATATGTGAATATTGAATTTTAATGATTAATTTTTTTTTTTTTCTTAAATTTTCATATAGCCTCCTGGTCAACCATCGTCAACATTAGATATTCCAAACGAACAAGAACATATAAAAAATGATTGAGAGAATATATTTTTTTAAAGAAAAATTTGTATACATATATCTATTCATTTCTTTTTTTTTTTTTTTATCTGTATTATTTCTTATTCTTGTTGTTTCATGTTTATCATTGAACAACAATATCTTTGATGATATTTTCTCTTGACTATTATCCACTTATTTGTGCAATGTATCCAAGACTTTCAATATTGAACTTTGTTTTTGTTTTTTGAATATGCATATATGTATATGACAACAACTGTAAAATTATATATCAAACAATACGAATAGACATATATAATATGTGTCATGTCGAAGTTACACTACAACAAATAATACTCAATCATTTGATGAGATTAACCTTCTTCAGCTCATGATCTTCATTTTCATTTACTCTTTTTCAATAAATTTTTGCAATAAAACTAAAATTTAATTGAAAATACGAATTCAATAATCCATAATTCTTTGATTTGAAGCTATGCTAATTAGACGATGTTCATTGCTTGCTTGTAGTGTGAAAAAATAAAATCGGCAAAAAGAATCTCTTAGCATTATAAAGAAATATGCTTCCTTGCCGAAGAGATTCAGAGCATGACTAACAATCTATTTAAGGGTGCCCCCCCCCCTCTTTTTTGACCATTTCTAGATATCGAAGATAGTCAGGCCGATCGAAATGAAATTTTTACCACAAATAGAACACCTAAAATGATGAGACACGTGTTCGAGGAAAAAATTCTCTAAGGCGGTTTCATGGTTTTTTATGAAAAACCTTGGTTTTCCATAGGNGGTTTTGTAATGCTTTTGAATTTGATATATTGCTGTGGTAGAATATCGTATACTTCACCGACTTTTGTTTGTTTAGGTATAGTGTAAACTGCCTAGCGCGAAAAATCATTCCAGAACTTAATTGAATTTTTTTTCAAAGATTAGAAATATTTTGCAACAAAACATTTTGCAAAACTCTTACGCAATTTTGGTCTTAACAGATTTCTCTTCTTCGGAATGCTGTTTATTGTTTCTTAAGCAAATTCTTCTCGTTTTTATTGATGTTCTTTACATAGAATATGTTAATTTTTGCGAAAAACTCATCAAAGTAATCGAATTCATTGTCGAAATCAAATCTGTTAACTGAAAAAAAACCAATTGGAATAGAAGGAAAAGTACCTATTCATTTTCATTAATGAAATTATTCTCAGATAATCGAATTTTCTTTCAATTGGATTAAATAGGAAAATCAGTTTTTCTTTTCGTAGTCAGATAAAATTTTTTTATTCATTAATTCGACGATTCTTATTTTTATTTGTCGTAGATACTATCAATCGTCCAATGAAGAATTTATCAACGACAAACTAATCGACTTCTGAAAGATCAGTTCAATGGTGAACAATAGCAGATGTACGAATGAATGATGACCTAAAAAAGAAGATAGCTATAGAAACTGAAATATTTTCCTCAGATAATGGTCTAATTCAAATATATATGATATGTAAACAAATCCTTTGTTTCACGAAATCGAATATGGATGTAATCAACAGGCCAAGAGTGATCATGTCGATTACATATTAATTCCAGGCAAAAATGAACTAAATTAGTGGAAAATAACCAATGATTAAAATTGTATTGTAATGCCAAAAAAAAAAAGACTACTTTTTCAATTAAGAAAATATCAACAAATATAATATGATAATTCTATATACAAACGAAGAATTATTTATTCGACATACGACTGCTACATAAGCCAAACAACAAAAACTTTACTCTTCATCTTAAGGATGAGGATTATCGACCACGTAAACATAGTATCTATTGTATCAAATGAGATGTTATTCTCTTTCTCATATATTTTATATGTATCAATCACACACAAATTATGTTTCAATTTCGCAATAACACCTTAATGAACGATTGACTGTTTTTTTGGAAACAGTAAAAAAAGATGAAATAATAGAATTTCAAACATTTCAAAAAATAGTCTTTTTTCCACTAATTGGCTTTTAATTTTGCCTACAATCATGTCCTATTCTTTGCTTTCCGTATATATGAAATAGTTGATTTAGTTCAGCATCAAAATCTTTTTCTAAGCATCTAGTACGTATTTTTAACAATAAAAACAAAAAGATGTATAAAAACAAACTTCAACGAAATAAAAATTATATCCATTGTAAATAAATATTACCAAGTTCATGATGAATTGTGTAATTTGATAAAATTTTTTCATTATCAATCATTTCTTTTAATCTTTTAATCATATTATCATCTGCTTTTGAAACATAAATACATAATAAACGAAGATCTTTATTGATTTTGTTTAAAATATCTCGTAGAAATAATTCAATAGTCATACCATGAATACATTCGACATTAAGAAATTCCATATATAGACAAACATTAAGAAAAAAATAAATTTCTTCAATTGCTTCCGTCTTCTCCATATACACTTTTTTAATTTTACTTGCATGTTCTATTGAACATGTTGTAGGAAGTTCTTTATTGAAGTATGATTGATAAAATGTTAAAGAATTAATTTTTAATGTAATAAGATCTGGTAATAAATGTATAATTTGCATTAATCTATCAATAGAAATTTGTTGCTGAATATCCAAATGATAAATTTGTACTATATTTACAATACGTTTAATATACATGAATAAATTATCAGCAGGTTCACCAGAAAAAACGTATTTGATAGTCAATTGAGTAGATTTTAAATAATCAACAGTAGAATTCTTATATTCATACCATCTTTTTCTAAAAACAAAAACAAACAATCCATATGAATATAAAAGAATCTTCAGCAATGTACCTATATGGACAAACTAAATAAAGAATTTTATATTCATGAATTTCAACATTAAATATTAATTTTCGTTCAATCCAAAATGATGAATTGAATTGAGTTTGTTCTTCAGAATCTATTGAATGTCTATGTTCATAATATTTTAAAGAAAATTTTTTCAATTCAGGTAAATATTGTAAAATTAATTGTTCCCATCGATAAGCATCAAGAAAAGTTATATCTTGATACGAAAAAGTAATGTATAAATTTTTTACTTTTGAATATATATTCTGAATAAATATTTCAAATTCATCAAAGTTAATATAATTTGTATACATTGAAATGGATGTTAAATTTTCTAAACTAATTGGTAACATAGTTTCAATATCTGAATCATCTTGATTTATATGTGAAAGAGTTAGATGACGAAGTTTTGGTGTATAAGAAATTAAAGAAGAAAGTTCATCGAAAGTATAATAATGACCAATTTGAAGATATTCAATAGTACTTAATTGTTTTCCAGTAACAGCCATTGGAATTGAAATTGAACATTCATTTCCATATAAATATAGTTTATTATATTTTAATGTTGGTAATGTAAAAATTAATTGATAAATGTTATTTAGATCTCCTACGACATGCACTGTTTGTATATCTAATGAGAAAAGTTGTGGTAAAGAATTTAAATTAATAAGAAATGGAATAAGTTTATCTGGTTGAATATCTTCAATAACAAGTGATTGAAGACAATTAAATGAAGAATCAATAATAATCGATGTTAATAATTGATTAAGATGAACTGGTATTTGAAAATTAATGGAATATATTTGATGTTTAATTTGTTCATTAATAAACATAAATATTTCGTTCGAATTAAAATGAATGAGTTTAATTTTATATAGAATAGATGAAGATGTAAGAAGTTGTTGAAAACGATAATTAAGATTTGAAAATGCTAGATATATGTCAATACCATCAAGATAATCAAATATTTCATGGAATAATTCATTCGATAAATTTTCAATAGAAGATATTCTTAATTCATCCAACAACTCACCTAGACAAAAAAAAACAGCTTATATGTTACTAGTAGAATAATATTACTTCGTAATTTCTTTGTATTTTCTTCAGATAATTGATTAAAACTTAATGTTCGCTTTGTGAATATATATTGAAGGAATCATCAATTATTCGTCCGCTGTGCTTCGAAATGCACCGAACTTGTTCGGTCACTCTTTTAACTAAAGATATTTGATATAAGTTATTAAGAATTTTCAATGAAAAGGAAACCAATGTTTTTGAACGATTTAAACTTGTAAGATTTTTATAAAACTCATCTTTTTTTGATAACCAACTATTCATATGATTATAAGCAATAGACATAAAACGCGTTGAAATTGAATTGTAAAGCACAGAATACCAAAAACCTCATATACAAATAATTATTATGTGCGAACTTTTGATTAAACTCAAAATATTGAGAGTAAGCAATATATCGGAATATAGACATACAGATTTACGAACTAAATTAGAAAAACAAGTTAAAATATCTTATATAGTCGTATAAGAGAATATGGGTGATCATGCATTAAAGAAATTCACTTTTGCTTAGTAATGAACATGACTAGCTAACGGTCACCTTTGGAAGTTGTGAGATACCTCCGTTATGAGTGATATAGCTCCCATTTTTCTTTCATCATGCATATATCAAATAAATTTGTACGCATTTAAATCTTGTTAAATTGTATTTTTTGTCTCAAAGATGGTCATCAATTCCAAAGTGCATTCGTTATGAGAATAAAACTTCATTACGTGAACGATAGAACTACTCGTAAATTTGGGAACATATGTACTTTTATCACGATAGTTAAAAAATTTCAGATACTCAAACCTTCGGATTTGAAAGGTGAAATTTCGTAACGAACAGTGTTTTTAGTTTTTTTTTAATTTTATGCAATGATAGTTGTTAGTAAACATCATGATATTACGATCGCTAGTAGTGTACGTAAGATATTTATTTATATGTCACTTCGATTCGTAATAAAATGTTCAATTCTCATATTACTATCAAAAACGTCTTGATTTTGTTTTCTTAATATTACAAAATCAGTAATCATATAAAATCTTTTTTTTAATATTAAATAGGTATAAAAGTAAGACAAATCGAATTGACTTGAAAGTTCTTTTATTTCCTCGTTCGTATAGATTCCAAAATTGATCTGGTAATTTTCGGATTTATTCTTTTAAATGATGATTATTCCTTTCAAATGTTTTTCGTAATGATAGTTCAGCCCAACTACACCAAAGTCGAGTAAATGTATCTGTTCTAATATCACACAATTCAGACTTGATTAATTTCAATGAGAAATTTTTAAATCAATCATAATTGATGTATTCTTCATATGTACAATAATACCATGGATAAATATAATCGAGTAATTCTTGTTCTGTATTTGGTAATAAAGTTTTATACATTTGTATAAAAGTCGAGGATGTGAGTGTTGCAGCCAAATCATTACTTACAGTTATAGTCACACTCATACCCATTCCGAAAATTCTGTACGTTGGATTTTATTACGAAAGAGAACAAGTAAAGCTAATCGTAAGTCGATTCGCACACCGCTAGACTGAACTAATATCATTAGTTTTTCAACTGCATTTTCCTGAATAAAATGATTTATACATCAGTGAAATAATAATACTTAGGGCATACCAAAATTAGGAGCAGTGACACTTTAATATTGTATATTAGGCTTAGAGAAATGTTCTTTTTATACAGTCTGATAGAGAAAAAATAGCTCTATCTTTCTATGCTATTTGATCGTACTTCGACTAATATCATAATAATAAAATGTTGATAAGATTTGTTTTGTTCGCATGTGTCACGGTTCCATGAATACTAATGAGTATCTTTTGAATAACTTTTGATAGAAACAAGATGGAGAATTATGGTTTTCACCGTTGGAAAGAGGAGATAAAGATGCGTTGAATCGTGTATTGCACGCTGTTGTAATATTGATTTCGGAAGTATTTTTATTCAATTTCCTAACTATCTGAAAAATGATTTTTTTTAATGAAAAAAAAAGAAAAAGCACACAAGTGAGCTTTTTTTCAGACTTTGCTTGAAAATCGTATTAGAGTCTCGAGTAGAATACATAGTATTCATCTCAGTATTCCGCACGTTGTACACCTTCGACTAGTGGTTTGAATTAATACTTGATAATTGAAAGTTCACTGGAAACAACTGACCAGTTAATTTTGTTCTCGAAACGGTGAATTGAATGCCTTACAAAAAAACAGATCAGGAAACTGTGGAATACATGATTTGATACATCTTCATCTCCTCTTTCCAATGATGCAAACCACAGTTCTCTGATTTGTTTTTATGAAAAGTTATTTAAAAAAATACTCACTCGTATTTTATTAAAATAAGTAATTACTAATAGAACCAGCACATATGATAACGAAATAGATTTTATCGAAATTTTATTATTATGATATTAGTCGAAGTACGATCAAATAGCATAAAAAGATAGAGCTTTTTCCTATCAGACTATATAGACAGATAATTTCTTTAAGCCTACTAGACGGTATTAAAGTGTCACTGCCCGTACTTTTGGTATGCCCTAAGTATAAGATTCATGTAGGAATGGACTTTGTGCATGGTTTTAAAGAGTTTAGTCAAAAGTTGATATTTAGATTAAGAAAGCAGCTGATAAGGTGAGATTCGGACTTTGTGTATTTCTATTGAATGTTATAGTAATATTGTCGCTGATCATATATTAGATCATACGAAGAAAAGTGCCAGAAATTTTGGTCACAGATTTGTTAGATGAATGTTTTCTGTAAGTTTCTCATAAGTTCTAACAGTACTATCTTGCCCAACAAGCTGAACAAAGTTTTTCCAAAAGCTTTGAACTGGTCTATTCGAAAACATGTACGAAAGATTGTGATATTTTCCACATTTTTTTGAAAAAACCTATATTCTGAAAATATTACGAAAAACCATTCTATACCTGATTGGAAAAAATATGCTGTTTCACAGTAGAAAAAACATCAATTTAAATTTATGAAAAATTACCGAAAGGTCATCAGGGACAAAATATGTAATTTTCTGCAAAAGCAGGATTTTTTCACGATGAAAAAAAAGAAATACTTCTTGTTTGCTGCTAGTTTTGAACTATTAAGACGTAAAAGCAATTTTTTCTGTTGAAAAAAAGATTATTTCGGACCTAATATCTTTTTAAGGTCAGTTACAGATATACTTCTAGTACTTATTTTTTAAAATTTAATGATTCATCACTACAAAATATTTCAATATGATATTTGCAGATGACGTTGTAGTAAAATTTCTAAACACTTTACTATTTATTTCATTAGTGATAAGTATCACAAGAGAATATTATCATTTACATTTAATAAGAATGAACCTAAACGATTATTATATTTCTTAAGCTTGAAATAAAATTATCTATCTAATTTTTCTTCAAATTTTCAAATAAATTGACAAATCTGTGAAGACGATCGTCAAGTATGTGATGTTAATCATTGAAAAAAGCCAACATTCATCTAAAGAAAATTTACCTTTATCAAAAAAGATTATTCTCGATTCAAAAAAAAATATTCTGAAATTCAACTTCTCTGTATAATTTAAGAGTATTCAGAATGTAGTCTAGTCCATATGTCTAACATTGAACAATTATTATTATTATTATTAAGAGCTTTGTTTGAGTGATTTCACCTAATCGGTCTTGACCACTTACATTTGATGAAAGTTGTCTAGAGCATAGGAGAAAGAAAGAAGAAGAAAGAAAAAAATAGCATCACATCGGATAGACGAGAGTTACAGTAAAAGAATATAAAGAGACAACAACAACTTAGACAAATACATCAGGGTTGTGAAGATGGATCAGTAAAATTTCTTGTTGAAAGCGGCTGATTGCATCAATCTTAATTGACAAATTGCAAAAGTTTGTCAAAATAAGTAAAGGAATTTTGATAAAACTTGATTAGATGTGGGTGCGGGTTGGATGTAGTTCATGATCAGAATGAGTGAAAACCACACTCACACCCCTACACAACCACACACTCAAGCCCACATCATCCATCCACACACACACACCCTCTATGTGAAGTCAATCGAAGTCTTAGTTAGTATAGTTTACATTTGGTCTAATTTTTTTACGAGTTCATTTTAGTTTCATTAGGCAAGAAATAATTATCGAGAACGTCACATATATGCCAGATTCAATTCTAATGCTTCCTCATAAGCTTGAATACTATGAATGAGTTTGTTTCGAAGACAGGTCTGTTTGTGTGGTTCACGCATGTATTGAATTAATTGCGATGATGGTATTGCAGCACTTAAGAGTTGGTCCAACTTTAACGCATATTGTGTAATAAAATGATAATAACATGTTTGTGCAATGTTATCAGTCATACGTTTTTCTACGACCTAAGAGAGAAAACATACTTCAAGAATCTCCTATGAAATATTCTATTCAAAATACCACAAGAGATTTGCAAGAAATTCTTGCGAAATTAGTGTATCTTTTGATTTTAGATTTCTATGAAGAACCAAATAGAATATTTTACCTTTGAGTAGGCATGTAATGCAATTTGAATATCTTGCGCAGCTTGAGCTTCATTGGACATAGATGCATAAGCAACTGTGTCAGCAGAATTTTTAGCAATCGCAGTTGAGGCTCCTTTTGAACTCAAAGAAGCTGAGAGAGCATTTGTTTCGTCATGAACATCATTTTTCTTTTTGTTCATTTCTTTCAACTTGTTCACAGTATCCATATAGTAATGATTGAGTGTAAATACACGTTTTTCCATATCGAGTATTTCATTAACACGTTCCAATAAGACTTCTTGTACTTCATTGAGTCTTTTGATGATAATTTCTTTTAAACGTTCTTTCAGACGAGGATACTCGTTTTTGAAAGCCTGTTCGAATAATCGTAGCAAACATTGAGACATGTACTGATGCATCTGCTGGATCAATTCACGACAGCAATCAGGCAATTTCTGTAATTCCTTTCGGAAGAGTCCTACAATAATTTGGTAACTGGGAAAATTTGGTAAAGAAATACCAGCTGCTCGATCAATTTCACGAAGTACGATTTTGTGGTATTTACTTGAGAAAAAATTCGTAAAACTTCGTCGACACTCTTTTTGAAATTTACGTTGTAATTGATAAATATGATAAGCGATATGGTCTTCGTCGTTTTCCTCAGCTAACGACTCTTCTTCTTCACATTCATCGTCTTGTACATCCGAATGGATGTTATCGTTAGAAGTAGCATCCACATCTGTGTTTATGATAGGTAATTCGGCCACTTCCATTGATGCAACCTGATCATACTCGCCTTTCACATTATCATGGATACTTTCTCGATAAGCATTGATCATCGATTGAAAATTTTTCCAACATTCTGCTTCAGTATTCACAGAAGGTGGAATTTTTTTCAGTTGAGCTTTATTCTCCGCTAATTGTTTTTTCAATTGTTTGATGATATGTGGGAATGTAGAGCGAATACGCTCTTGTTGAATAGTCGCTAGACGTCGAACCAATTGTTCACTGCCTTTAAATTCATCAGATAAATGTTGAAACGCTTCTTTATGAGTGATAAAAAATTGCTTTTCACGCTGTTTCATTTCACTGAATGAAATATTCTGATCGATTTCGTCTTGATTTCGATTCAGAACAGCGACGCAACCTAATTGTAGATCCATTGAACCAGATCCACGACCTTGCAATTTTTCTGCAATGCCCTTATCATATTTGTCAATTTTGGAGGCCGCAATGAGCTGTCGCTGACACGATGGATCAAATACTTTGGCAAGTTTCATTGATTCTGATGTGGTAAAATCGACTGAAGCCGGAATAACATGTAATACGATCTAAAGATATCAGATAAATAATCCATAAGGATACAAAATATATACTATATAATATTGCGTTGCTTTTTAGACGTTCTCAGTGGACTACAAAACTAAAAAAACTTTCGTAAATTTACCAGTACTTTAATTTCTTCTTTAATTCGAAGTCAAGTTTGCTAGAGTTAGGCTCGAAATCGAATCATAGTTCTGAAAGCAAAACTCGAGACTTGTTACCAATTGCTTCTCAATCTATTGTTTACAATGATGGCACACATCTGTCTACATTTTCTATTGTTTATCTTTTCACTCACATCATGGCTTTTCCTGCAATTATTCATTTAGAAATGATTGGTCAACATGAAATAGTAAGAGCAAAAATGAGGATGATATTCTAACAGAAAATAAGTGATAAACTTACTGCAGTAGGTGGTTGAATGTATTCGTTAATTAAATTCAAAATTTGTTGATGAATATCTTCTGCTTGACCAGGCACTGCATTCCGTGTAATACCCGGAAGATCAATTAGGGTCAAATCGTACAAAATATCTCGCTTATACACTGTTAAATAGATCGGGCGTGGGCTCACATTAAATCCTGTACCAGCGATTTCTGATGTCAATCGAGTCACTTCATCAGCAATCTTTGTTAAATCGTTGATCTTCTTTTCTTCCGTAGAACCAACACTACTACGTATTGTTGCATATTCCTTATCTTGAGCTGTTTTCATCCGTAATTCTAGTGGACAGCGAGTGCAAATATTTTGGGCCCGAGGTAATTGAATACCAGATATAGCTTCCAATACGGATGATTTACCCACAGATTGATCACCAACAACCACAATTTCGGGTAGATTCACTTTCTCTTCATGTAACAGTTCGCGCATCTTGTCAATAGCTGACAAAAGATTACGAGATTCAACACTATTCAATTGCTCACCTAGCATGATTCTCGGAATTAAATATTTAGAACTATTATGCCAGTTCTTGAAAACTTATCATCACTCCAATTTATATATCAAAAGCACTGGGAAAAAACCCAAAGCTCTTTTTTATTCTATAATGATTATTCATACAGTAAGAAAACAGTGAGAAATTGTCACATGCACGTCAGCACTTTTCAATTCGACGGTTGCTTAATGTGTGCATAGTTTCATTTCATTCTGTCTTAAAATAAACAAACGAATCTACTTCATAAGGAACATTTGAATGACAACTTTTATAGTCAATACATCGCTTATATTCAAAGCTTTTTCATATTCATGAAGGACTTCGATTGATAGTAATGCTCACTATCTCGTATATAATTCGATTATTTTCGTCAAGAAAAACAAATAATGGAACTTTGCTCTGTTCATATTTGCTACTTCTTCTGCAAATAAAACAATTTTGTGAAAATCACATATATTTTCGACGAAAATAGTGAGGGTGTGGGTGTTGCTCTTTTCTTCATCACACCCACACCCACACCCTTTCTGGAGTGAAACCTATAATATGGCTTGACAGCTGTAGTTTTTACGTACCTCTATGAAGAAAAATTTAAGTAAGCTTCTAGGAGAAATCAAAAAGGCAGCCAATTTGAGTGGACTGAAGCGGACATATTTCAATCTTTTCTTGTAGTATTATTTCGTCGGTCACCCTCTAGAATAAAAACGTTTGACTTCCGATCTTTCAATTTATAGAATTTCACTGAAAACAAAACATTTCAGATCTAGAAGGAAGTCTTGTTCAGAGTTTTTCGAATAAATTCTGTGTTACATATTCATATTGTCACACATTATTACTAACGAAATTTAATGAAATCTGTTCCAATATGGGTATGAATACATACATTTTACAGACAAAAGTATGGCGAGCTATAAACGGCCGGAAAAGTAATAGATTTCTATATTATGTGCTAATTATGTTCACATAAAACGATTCTTGGGTTTTATTGTAGTGTCATTTAAGAATGTATTTAGCAACATAGGAGTCATTGTTCTATCCTATCTTTTATTGCTTTCAGGATTGAGCTAAGCGAGGTTCAAGGAGCTGACGCGGGTACTTATTTTCAATCTGTTACGCGCATATTCTAAATTGAAATTTTCATTATGATACATGATCCAATAGAACAATTTGCGCTTTACGTAGTCTCCAAAAATGTTTAGCCAATTTCATTGTTTAGTATATTATTACTATATATACATCAATCACAGATAGACATTCTTGTACTGTCTTATTCAGGCATTGAAGGCAGTAAAAATTGTTTTGACAGTATGGATTTGTAGGGAATCTTTTTCCATCAGAAACTCTTATATTTGAAGTCAAAAAGAATAATAACTCTTAAGTTATATAGCTTTCTGATGCTATGAATAGCAAGAGATCTTTGTCGATAGAAGATGAAATCTAGAACAATGCTTTATGTTATCTTTCATGTGATACATTCTTGTTTGATAAGATACATATCCACTCTGTTGCTGAGATTGTAATAAATGTTTTTAACTCCTTTTGTTTATAGCGTAACAAAGGTAAAAAGCTTAAAAGATAGTCACTTTTGATTTCAAATCGTACAGTTTTTTTACTGAAACAGATTCCCTACAAATTCATTACCTTTTCGATGCGTGAATAAGACAGTACAAGAAGGTCTATCTATGTATTTTCTGACTCTTTGTTGCCGAGATCATCGTAAACAGAAAATGATAACTTTCGATGTGTATGTGTAGTAAGTAAAAAAAAAAGAAAAAAGAAAACGCACAAAAGAGTACATAAATGTTGTGCAAAGCGATCTCAGTTTTTTTGACAATGGGATTTTAATTCACATAAGAGCTAGTCGTTTAGTTGAGTGAAGATTAGCTCATCACTGTTACTGATATTTGAGTTCCAAAAACGTCTGTATCATCTCGAGACATCGATCTTTCTCACAATGCTCGAACGAATTTCTAGGGACACAAAGTACAGATTTTGTGATACAGAAAAACCTGCAAAATATGAAGAACGAATGTGTATCCGACCGACTACAGAAATGCGATGCATCGCACCGCATTAATAATGGTTTGAGACGATGTAATAATAAGACCAGTGGTCGAAAGAATCCTTATTCTTGCAGTTGAGCTAAGTTACGAAGCATATGATATCAAAAATATATGGAAAATGACGAAACGAGTATCAAGTGCAAAAAAAACTAAGATCAAACTGGATAAAAAAAAACAAAAATAAAAGAATAAATAAAAATCGATATTTCCTTTTTTTGATGGTATATTTGTGCCTTATAAGAAGTCTCCGATGAAACGATCGATCAGACTATTTTCTTAGTACATGTTCGTCCATGATATGCTCATATATTTTATATATTTCAATCAGATTATTGCGTATACAACTTGGCTGAACATTCAGTCAGTGACTCATAATGAGTGTCGAATAAACGATTAATTAACATAACTAATTATTGATTCTTGCTGCACTATTTTTACGTAAAATATGTTCAGTACTTGATGAGAAAATCTTTAAAAAAATTATGATAATTAGTCGATTCTCGAAAAACTTATCATCACATTCTCATATTTATGTTTTTATTATTACAAGATAAGATGTCATTCAACAATATGCTACTTGAAAGACCGACACAAGTACTCAAACTCCATATAAATACATTCGATGCGAAATCATTTTTTATTTGGATATAAAAAACTTTTCTCAAGACCTATGAAACATCCTGTAAGTTCTGAAAATTTCATGCGATTTCAATACATCTAACTCAAGACTGATTTTTGAGAAGACCGTAATCAGTTGAGAAATTTCCATGGTTAGCTACAGATGCTTGAATAAATCCCATAAAATAATCCTTATACAAATTTTTCAAAAATTGATTAATATGTATCATAGATTAGACGAATCTCAAAACTATCCGTAATATTAATATCTCTATTCTTCATAGATTTTCTAGTTTTCATTAAAATAATGGCTACAATATCCAGTATAGTTTAAAACTTAATTCGATTGTCATTGTTAATAATACGAGCGTTTTTTTTTGTCTTTGATACGCACAATTATGCCGAATAAGAATAAGAAAAACAACAACTAGAACAAAACTGTACAAGAAAAGCACTGTTATTTTAAAAACAATATCATATTAATATACATAGTTCAAAAACAAAAGAAAAGAAGAAAAAAAAAAAAAGAAAATCTAATCAGACGGATTTGGAGGAAGTGCTGTTGTTCGTTTAACGGCCGCCGATTGTTGAGTCCAATAACTATTTAATATTGTTATAGCATCACATTGAACACTAAATGATTTCATTGGTACTTGAGAAAATTGTTTTGAACCATTATTATATTTATAAAAATTTTCAACCATGGATTCAGTTATTTCACGTGGTCCTTGACCATATAAACGTTCAATACGTGCTGGTAAATCGGATGTTGTACTTGGAATAAATGTATAAATACCACGAAATTGTAAACGTGAATCACGAAATAAGATAATAAAATGTTTTATTTTTTCTATATTACGTTCAATTTCATCACATACTTGTTCACGTACACGATCATTAACACGACCAGCAAGTATAACTTGTGTTAATGCATTAACTATCGTTTGTTTATTACTTTTACCTGATAAAGGTTTAGCTAATGGATAACGTGGTTCACTTAATGGAATGAGTGGTAATGGAGGTTCAGTTGTTGAACGTGCTGATGAACGTGGTAATGTACGAGAATCAATTTTTGTTGAATGAGAAGATGTTTTATTAGCACGTAATTCAGCCATTCGAACAAATGATAATGCAGGTGTTGAGATTGTTTCATTTGTATCCGAATTATTGAGAACATCTGTAGAAGATACACTATCTATTCGTGCACCAAATGGTGATATTACTATTGGACCTATGAAGAAAATAAAAACGATATTTAAACATTTGTTCTTTCATTTTTATTACTAAGAATCAATAGAAAAAAAAATATTGATTCAATATTTTTTGTGGAATGTTTTTCAAAGAAAAATAAAGGTGAATGTAGCTTTTAAATCCAGTTGTTTTGGCTGTCTCATCATAGCAATGGGAGATCAAAGGCGAATATGTTCTCCATAGCAAGCGATAGGAAGATAGATTAATAGTCATTGAGCATGTTTCTTTAGCAATCGTGGTTTACAGGTCTCAGACTCCTTTCACAGAATTTCTTAGCAACGAAGAAAGAGGTTGAATGATTTGAATACGTTTATGAATATTTTTGAGTAGATACAAATTTATATTTAAGATGTCAAAGATAATAGGTAGTAATGCATTCATTGGACGATCCAAATGATCAACATAGAAAATATGAACTGATCGAATTATAATTTTGAGAAATAATTAATATCAATGTTTCTGAGTTTATCATGATAAATAATAGTGTTTTGAGACCTACTATAGATATTCTGAATATGTAGAACAAGGTTATTTGTCAATTAAATCAATGGTTAGAATAATCATAACGTTAAATTAAGAAAAACAGAAATACGAAAATGAAAAATAATGATGGGGGAATAGCAACAAAGCAAACGAAAAAACTATTCTCTACTAGAACTTTTTCACTCACTATATTTCATATTAGTATAATATGGCTAAAGAACACATGTGAGTTTCACATTTTAGCTCTAAACGGTCTTTGCTAACAAGCTGTTTTTTTTTCTATACTTACAATTTTTATGAAACGTGTAGCTTTATGATAACATGTGATCAGCTTATAATATGAGAAGATAATGATAATTAGAATGTAGTACCTCTAACAAATAATTAAAAAAATTCGTTATATTTTATTAGACAATTTGTTCGTTTACTAAACATTTATAGTAATGAGAGATATTTTTTTTTTTGAAAAATTTAACACGAATATTGAATTAGAACTATATGAAATCTCATTGAAATTAGAGTGACTGGAAAAACTCCTTGTGATCAATTGAACTATTTAATGGCTACAATTAGATTTAAAAATGAATATTTCTTCACTATAAAAAAGAGCCAGATATGAATGTCTAATAATTTTAGTTCAAACAAACAAGCATTAGTTGACTGATGAGCGAAATCTTCCCACTGATAAATTTCTTTTTTTGATTAAGACCTCGATACATTATGTAGATCCAAATGACACTATAAATTCCCTGAAAACAGTTCGTGTTCTTAGATTATTGCTACGGCGATAGTACACTTTTAGGATATTTGTTAACTGAATACCGTTGTCAAGAAAACCTAACTTTTGACTTGAAACTTTGCAAAAATAAAATAGGCCTTAACGAGAGTAGTAGTTTATTGTGAAAGTTTTAAATCTGCTAGTTTATATAAGTGACACACTATCATTATAGTTGTATCTTAGAATAGACACAGCAATAAGATCGGAGATATTCACAAAAAATTATTTTCAGTAAGACTTGTCTCTATGGAAAGTTTCAAGTCGAAAAGCAAAGAGAACAAAGTCTGGACTCAATGGCAATGCACCAATTGGAGGACTTTCTTGATGAATAAAAATTTACTAAACTGATTAACAACTTTCATTTAGTAATACATGTACTAGCGAAAAACATGATATCATTTTCTAACAGCTTTAATCTTCTCTCTCAGAAATTCACTACTTTTTTTTTTTATTCATTAATACTTCTTCTATTCTGCATGTTTTTGTGTTCGACAATTATGCTGTTTACGATGTCGCATCAAATATTAAACTAATTATTACTCAATAATAGAAGATATAAGTCTCAGCCAACATCTTGCCCTGAGATGTTGATATAAAAAAACAATTATTTACCGGTTTGTCGTTTTTCAATAGGAGGTCTTGGTAATGTTGCCGAAGCTGAACTTTTCGGTCTCATTTTAATAATTGGATGTTCACCATTGGTCTGATCATTCGTATTGGATACAGTTTTTTCTTTTTTCATTAAATATTGTCGAAAAATTTCATCTCGTCTTTGTTCACGTTCAAGTTTTTTTGCTGAATCTTCATTATCTTTCATTCGTCGTTCATTATCACGTTTTAAATTGTTCATTTCTCTCATTTGACGTCGTCGTTCATAGGCTTCTTGACGTTGTTGTTGTCGTTGTAAAACTAATTCACGTTTACGTTCCATTTCAATAGCTGTTGATGCTGTTGGATTATCAATAATTTCAAGTATTAAACCATTTGATTTAGGAGATTTGTCAAATTTAGATGATTCTTCTTGTTGTTCACGGGGTGTTGATGATGATATTCGTCGTGGAAATGTCATTGATTTTGTTGAAAATGTTGCATTACGAGATACATTACCACCATTTGCATTAACTACTTGATTATGTATTTCTTCTTGTTTTACAGATAAACTTGTTAATACCTATAAAATAAGATTTTCAATTTCTTAATTGTATTCTAAAGTAAAATTTTCTTAACTATCTGCGATTAATTATTGAAATTTATTGTATAGAATGTTAATCGTTGATATAAGTAATAGAGAAAAAAAGCTCACAATTTTCAATTGTCTAGAGAGAAGAAAGGGAAATTTGCATTAATCAACTAGACTCCCAAAAGATTTTATAGTATTTGATAAGATCACACTATTTCTCTCGTTTATTATAACAATTGACAATAGTCGAAAAAAAAGATGTGAATAGAAATAATTGAAAAAGAAAAAAAAAATTTCTTTTCAATACTTCCGGGAATGTATTAGATAAACTTCATAAAATTAGGAAAGAACATAATAAGTGATCGAAAAATAATTTGAATCAAAGTTGACCTTTTTTTTTGCATAGAATAAAAGGTGCGATTGTTCTCTACGAAGTAATATAAAAATCATGAGTTTCAGAATAATCATTTAGGAATAACTGAATACACTTTGTAAGTCTATTTTTCATAGAAATCAAGAAAATTAACACGATATCTCTTACAAAAAATATTTTACTGTTGACAAATGACTTGCAGCAAACTAAGTATTAGTATATCATTTCATAGAGAAAAGACAATATGTATTGTTGAACATCGTTTCGAACTAAGGAAGTGCAGTGTTGGTGTAAATACTGACCAGTGAATCATTGACACATGGTCTACTAATTTCAACCCTATCAGATATTGATTTTCGAGTTCGAAAATTTTCAACTTGATGAGCTTTAGCCATCTGAATAATGTGTATAGTGTGCTAGTCTTCGAATGCAAAAATCTATTTCATACTTTATTATTTGGAGTTATTTGCTAAGATCAATTTAATTCATATTCTAATAATGAATTGTTAATAATTAATGAAGAAAAATTTTATGTTCGTGTTTTTTCTCTCTCGATGATTTACCTGTTGTAATTCTCCAATATTTGAATTAAGTTGTTCAATTCTATGGTTTTCATCATTTCGATTTTCTTCAATAATATTAGAAGGTGTTGATGTTGTTGTTTCAATATATTTTTGTTTAAGTAATTCAAGTGTATTTAAAAATTCATCACGTGTCATTGGTTTAGATAAATCTACAATAGATGATTCTTCTTTTTTTGATTCAATTAAAACCGGTTTTTGTTGTTGTTGTGCTCTAGTTGTATTTGGTTGAGAACGAAATTCAGATGTTGTTTGAGATTTACGAATATGATTATTATTAGATTGTGTTGAAGGTAAAAATTCATTAGTTAATGCTGATGTATGACGTGTTTTTTGTTGTAATAATTGTTTAAATGCTTCTTGACTTATTGTTTGTCTTTTATTATCACGCATATTTTCTAAACGTTGTTTATCACGTTCAATCGAACGTTTTTTCATTTCTAATTGCATTTTAACAGCTAAATATTCATTTGTTAATTGAGAATCATCAGTAGGTGTCATTTCATGATTACGTATTGTAATTATTGGTGTTGTTTGATTTGATAATGCTTGTCGTTGCCATGTTGTTGTTGTTGGCATAAATGTTGTCTTTTTTTGTGATACATTAGCATTTGTTGATGAAGATATTGAGTTTTTTAAACTACTTTTTATTGGAGCAACCTGAAGAAAAAAAAAAAACATTCTTTGATATTTATCCTAACGACGAAAAGAAAAAAAAAAGACATTGTTTTTTTTCTTTTTTTTTTCATCCTTAGCTCCGATCCAATTTTATCCGAATCGACCCACAACAAATAAACCGATGTCGAGCTTTACATAAGACAAATAGTAATTCGAGATGAGATAATGATTTCGTTCTTTTTTCTTATATTGAAAGAACTCATATGGATTCATCAAGTAAAAAAAGAAAAAAACATCGTTTTGATTGGTGAAAAATTATCTTTGATCTCGGAAAATTAACTCATGTCCGACACCATAGCATACCAGATGCTTCATATCTTCATGTAATAGACTAGTAGTCATTATATGGAGTGAAACAAAGTGTTCAATCATCTGTATAAAATACATCTGTATAACATCATCAGCAATTAAACTTGAACAATTATAATTACAATAATGAAGCTTTTATTTGTGCACAAGAATAAAGACAACTCCATCAATACTGTTTAAACTTATTATTTTTAATTGTGATATGTGAATTTACATGTCTAAGAATTATTATTATTCATTGTTTTCTTTTCTAATGACCTCTCAAGAGTTTAAGTCTCACACAATCATATAATGAACCCACTAAAATGATCTTGAAGGCTTCTTTTAATCCGTCTATTAACATTTAACAAGTTCGAGTAATTGTTAGGCTTTAATCTTTGTAATTAACACATTCTAAAGAATATTTAACAAAACGATAGTGTGAGATTTAAATGATTCTAAGACTACCAAAATGTACATAATAGAAAATTCAAGTTTCTTAGATGAAAACAAAAAGTATAGAATATTTCAAGTGCAATTGTAAAACTTATTTATATATACGACAAAAACAAAAACAAAAATAAAGAATTTATGAAAAACGTTTTTCTTACTAATTGTCTATCATGATTTGTACTTGTTTGTAAAATTCCACCGGTTGTAATTTGTTCATTATTATTATCATTTAAAATAAAAAATTCATTAGTACCATCCTCATTATTATTATTATTATTATCATCATCATCAAGTGAATAAGTTTGATTTGATTTATTTGTATATATATTTTCTTCATCTTCATATTCATTAGAATTTAAAGATAAATCTTTTTTATCAATATTTTCTTCAATTTCATATAAAACAAATAAATCAACAAGCATACCATGTATATTTATATCTGGTATAATATTTTCACGTAAATTTTTTACTGTAAATGGAAATATATTTGTCATTTTATGTCCATTATAATGATTTAAATAATTTCTTAAAATATTTAAATCATTTTTATTTTTTTTCATATTATAATTTTCATCATAATATGATATAAGTGAAAATAAACATGTACCATCAATTAATGCTGTCCGTAAATCAATAACAGGTGGAATACGTTGTGAACATTGATTAGCCATATATTCACATATACCATTAATCCATATAATTAAAAATGATTCTGTATTTAATTGTTTCGATTTATTTAATAATGTTAAAACAGATTTTAATTGAAGTTTTTCAAAACGTTGATAAAGTATATTTTGATCAAGTATTATATTAAAATATAATTTCATAAGATTGTCAATTAATTCTAAATGTACATGAGCATTTAAAGGTTCATCTTGTTTTAATAAATTTATATCTATAAGAATATTTTGTGAATAAAAATAATTTATAATATCATCATATGTTATTAATTGATCTTGTTGATTTGTTATATATTGAAATGCACGTATATATAAATCACCTGATAATAAAACAAGTGCTATATCAGGTGATAAAAAACGTTCATTATTTTCATTTTGAAAAAAATGTTCATTTGGTAAATAATCTGGTATTGTACCATGTTGATATGCTTTACTTATTAACCAACGTAATGAACAAGTAAGACGTGATTCATTTTCGTCTTCATCATCACTTAATATATCATAAGATTCAATATTATTTGACTGCATTTTGTTTTTGCAAAATGATGGCTCATTAATCGATTTGATTTGTTTCTTTCTTTTATTTTGTATGACGCGTGGTCTGGCAACAAAAAGCATTAATATATATATACGAATCATTTCCTAATGCATTTAGCAATTAGCGACATCTAATTAGATTTTATAAATTTCAAAAAAAAAATTGAAATTTTTATCAACATAGAGTCAATTAAGTGTTATTAAACTAGAGATTTGATTTTTGTTTAGGAGAAATATGTGAGAAAAGATGGCGGTATAAGACGAGATAAAGATCGAGGAACAGCTGTACAAAACTGAAGAAAAATCTACTGCTTCTGATATATATATATGTTTAGAAGAAAAAAACGAGTATGCTCTAGCGTCCGTAGGCTTTATTCCGAACCCAACAGTATCTAATATATGCATTAGATTGTTCTTTGAGCTAAAATAGCAAATGAAAACTTAAACTTTCTATTAGTTTTATTTTTGTTTCAGTAACCATTTGAGAACTGAAAAGATTTATTTTCACTCTTTAAAGAAAAGTTTCCAATTTGCTTCACTGAAAAAAAGAATAATAATAAAGCAGAAGTGTTCATATAAATAAAATGAAATTTCATATATTGTAAGTTTACACATTTTGCTGAAGATGTTTCTTAGGTATATAAACTTTCGATAGTTTATATCTCTTTTTCACTTGTAAGAGAGAACTACTACTTCAAATCATTAACAATGTCTGTTTCAACATTTCATCATACAAAATTCAATATTTCTTCGAGGACATTTGCTAAGTTATGTTTCGCAACGAAAATTCTACTAGTTTTTGTTATTATTATTGTTCAAAATATTAATTACGATGGGTAACCATATTGAAGGTTCAGTCCGGATGCAGAGTCGCCCGAGTCGATTCAAGTTTCGGATATGTTCTCGAAGCCGGTAATTGATAATGTTTCAAAATATTTTTGATTTTTCTGAAAATAATATTTAGCAGTGAAAATCGATTTGCTCATAATTGAACAATTTATTACATGTGAGAACAGGTCACATAGGTGGAAAGCGATATTGTTTTACTGAAAGAAATCATCTTGAATGAAAAAATCATATATACATTACGATAAACCATATGGCAAGAAACTAAATGCATGAAGAGGAAAATGAATTATCAAAAAGGTCAACATGCATTATCATGATGGAAAAGCATTCATCTATATATATATATATACAATTATCAAAATTGACACCAACATGGAATTCCATTTTAGCAACAAATAAATATATACTTAGTGAAATTGATCATATTTTAGAAATAGAAGTACACTAAATCAACCTTGAATCAATTTCTCTTTTGTAATATTTGAGATATTCCATTTTTCTACTGCTCCTTGCAGAAAAAACTACATATTCAATCGGTTATCTGAGTTCAGTTACCAAAAGTTCTATCCGTGTAGGAAATGAATCTACGGTGAGCTACAGTAGTCATGCCCAATCCTACACGTGACTTAGCCACTCCCATGATAGCGAAATATATGATCACATCAACTATCCGACAAATTGCATATGATAATTATTCTTAATTAATGATAAACTGTGTTTATAATGAATATAAATTTTTAAAAATAAGTTTGATTTCATGTGCATTCGTGACTATAAATCATGATAATATTTTCATGATATCTACCATATGTTACCAAAAAATTACATGATTGGTTATAAAAGTTGTCACAACAAACGCCATAATATTGGTCTTTTTGCTTTTGTCCTTCGATTTTAAGCAAAAACAAATCTTCGTTTTTTGTTTTTCTTTTTAATCTATTTTTGAAATATTTTTTTTTCACTCAACAAGTCAATGTTTTGATCTATTTTTGTTTTTTTAACAATGAAATTTTATTGGTAATTAAATTCAATCAATCATAATCGATTTCTTTGTATCTATTTCTATTTATGTTGTTCTGAACGTTCATTAGATCTTTTGTTGTAAAATAAAGTTATGGCTCAAGCTTGTTTAACACAATATTTTACACCAAAACAATCAAGACGTTCATCAACTATTCTTGCTAATGGTGAATCAATTAAATCACAAAAACGAAAATTAAAACTCGATGATGAAAACAATGAAAATGTTTGTACATTATCCAATAATTCGAATAAAAAACGTCGAATTAGTAAGAAAAACAACATTTTTTTTTTATCATTAATACAATCTTTTATTTTAAGGTCCATCAAAACCAACAGATGGTTACTTACAAGGTTGTGATCTAGATCAAATTGATAAATGTATGTGACGATGAAATTAATGAATATTTTATCAAATTTTTCTTTTTCTTAGTACCATTATCAAGAAAAAATAAAAATGATTCTATCGAAGATCAGATTAAAATCAAAACATTTGAACGTCAAAAACAACGTTTAGTTAAAGTAGCTGATATGAATGAATTACGTAAACATCTTAAAGTTGTTCGAACTCATATTGAAGAAGTTAAACAACATCAACAAATTCCTATAACACCAAAAGAAAATGATGATAATACTCCGTAAGATATTCATCATTTGTTTGCTCAACAGATGAAGGAAGCGCATAAGTGGTCAAGAGAATTCACCAGTACTTTATTAACTCCAGAAAATCATTTATTAATGAAATGAATATATATTCAAACTTTTTTGATTGAATTTGAAAATGTAAACGCTTGCATTTTTCTAATCTCATGTATAAGTCACTAATTGAAGGAGATCTAGACACTAATATATTTATCTTTTGACAAATATTTTAATATAAAAAAAATTGAAATGAGCCAGATTTTTGTATTGCTCATTTGATATCTCTTTTAAAGGTAACTCTAACATATTCTTTTTTCGATGCACTTGTGTATTTTTGTAATCAATATTTAGAAGATTTCGATTAGAAAAAAGTTCAATATGAGTCAAAAATAATATGCTATTCGATATCAGGTTATATTGATTTGCAATATCATATTAATTTTCACTCAAAATTGACATTTTTCTGATCGAAATCTTCTAAATATTGATTCCAAAAAAAAAAAATAGTTCTCCTGTCAAAAAAATTGATATTGCTAAGATAACAGATACAATCTGTCTTGATACTCGTCACATTCATTGACTATTTCATTCTATCTATTCGAGTGTTGAGATAAGTATTGATGACAGTTTCTTTCCATTGTTATTGAAACAAATGAGATAATCTTATAAATTGATAAATCAATTTTCATATGATTCTTATCTTATTTGATAGGGTCTATTGCCATTAGAAAATGCCTAAAGAAATTTATGTCCATGAATCTTTCATCTTGTGTATACATCTATTTCTACTCAGTCTTTGTCCTTTTCTTGTACTAAGCAAAGTGCTGTGTTTCAATTAAATTCTATTTCGAATCTACTTTCAAATTCAAACTTACTACAAAGTTTGTAATCGAAACTCTTCATTGTGAAAGTATTACATCTATTTTTATGCATTTCTATTGAAAATTGTTTTATTCGAAAAAGTAAACTTTCATTATTCTATGTATATTCCGAAAGAGAATATATTCAAATATCTGATGTTTTCATAATAAACTAATCTTAATAAGAAGTTTATTTGTGCAAATTTAGAACTGAAAGAGTGATTATGAAGGTGAAAGATTCATAGACAGTAATCTTCTTAAGTATTCTCTAGTCTAATTTTAGCTTATCTGATGAGGGAAAACCGAACGTCAAAGCAATTAGTTACTTGATATGGCTCCCTAGTAAAGAAAAATCGGCTTGCAGATTTTTAAACGAAAAAATGACTATTGATTCGATAAACCAGAATAATATACATACAATTGAGGTATCGCTTAGAGCGATATAAGTGAAAAGAAGAATCAAGTAATCCGTTGAATTGATATTAGGTAAGAAGATCTAATTAATTAATATAACCGTATACATTCATTACATTTCGTTTGTTTATTTATTACGCTACCTTAAACATTGTAGTAGAAGAAATCGTTCCTAGCTAGAATATAATGAAATAAAAATGATCTTTAGAGAATCGAAATCATCATGTTGTCAGTATACAAAACATGCAAATATATTTTTCTTCAGACTACACGAAACGATAGAGAAACCTATTTTGTACCTCTCTACTTGAATCAATATGTAGATTCTTGTTTCCAAATAGATCTCAGCCACATGCATCCATTAAAAATACTGAGTGATAAGTTTAAAAAAAAAAAAGGACTGTCGGTTTATCATTAGCATTGAATTTAAATGTAAGTTAGTATTAATTTAATGCAAACGATGGAGCCTTCTCAGATGTTCTCTTCCGATTTCAATGTTTTTTTCGTCTGTAGATACTACATAGTGTTTTAATACAAACTCTAAATGCACTTTTGATATTTAACTTAGTTATCAAGTTTTTTATGTGTCTATTTGCTAGACGTTCCGAGTCTTTGTGTATACGTCTGAATTTCTTTTTTTCAAAGGAAGCTAGCCTAGTTGATTTGTCTATATGAACAAAGTTTCAGATTAAAATTCGGCTACTTAGACAAATCGCAATAGAAATCCAAATCTTTGTGAGGTTTTTATAAGAACACTATATAGTATTACCAGTACAAAATCATTAAATTCTTTCAAATTTCTTTTTTTTTTGTTCTTGTTTAGAAAGAAATTTATTCCAGCTCATGAACGTTTTGCTCATCTTCTTGCTGAAAAACCACCTGTAAATGAGCCATCATTGACTCCTATAAAAACTGTTGCTTCACCTGCTGATCTTCGTCGATGTGTTCAAGTTACAGAAAATGAACGAGTAAATTGCAAACAAAATCTTTCTAAGTTGTTTTATAGAATAATAATTTCATTTGTTGATTAATTTAGTTAAAAAAAGTTTTATCAAAAGTTGATCAATCAGTTCTTGAAACATTACCAACAACACCATCAAAACGTATTGCTGGTATAAATAATCGTTTACTTGAACAAATACGTTTAAAAGAAGAATCACGTAGTCAATTAATATCACTTGAAAATACAGGTATTGTTAAAAATGAAGTACAACGTTCAAAAACTTATGAAATATTTCATCATATGCGAGAATCAATGAATATTATTGATCAATTATTTACAACAGAACGTCAAGTTGCTTTAGAATGTGATCGAATACATAAAAAAATTAGTGAATTACATTCAGCTCGATATAATCAAGGTTAATTTGACTATTTGACAAATTTTTTTTTATATGTTTTATTGTTTTTTTTTTTTTTGTTTATATATATAGATCAAGCAATTGAGATTTTAGATTTTATTGTTAAATCTATGGAAGAATGTGCATCTGGTTATTTAAATCCAATAAAATTACGAAATAAACAATATATTAAAATCAATCGAGCTAAAATAACAATGGTTATATTAAATGATTATATAGAAAAAAAATTGATCGAATTTGGTGAATGATTGCTTATGGTTTTTTTTTTTTGTTGTTGTCTCTATTTTGTTTCTTGCTATATATAAAATATATTGTTATTCTTCTAGAAGAAAAACGTAGTTGAACTATTTTCTTGTTACTTTATTTTTCTTTGTCTCACTCTCATTTTTTTTTTGTATATTGCTCATAGCTTGTTATATGTATGAAAATTGATTGGAAAAAAAAAGAAAATGAATACTTTGTGTATAAAAAGATAAAATTATTTTCTTGTTTATTGCAGATTTTATTTCATACAATGGTTCTACTCAAAGAAGTTTCAGAAGGAATTTGGGGTAAGACAAACAGAACCTTGACAGATGGGTTAAAAGCGCTTGAGATACTATTTAGTAAAAGAATTTCAATCTAGCAAAGCTGCCAGTTCCCAGATACGATTCATCAAAGATAATGTCACTTTTTGAACTAACGTACATCAGTGCTGGAAAAGATTCATTGTAGAATATCTTATGTTAGTGAAGAATCCGTGTGATTCAAATCGAACAAAAATCGTTGACTGAGGGTTTGGTGTAATGTGCGCCATATCGGCGGTAGTTTACAGTTGGCTATATTCTGATCACTATTTTACCGCGATATATTGATACTTGTTTTTCGATTGACTGGGAGCTTCCTCCGGGAATAATTGTTATACATTATTTTAACATTAGAATAAGACGATTCAAATGAAGAATTATTTTATGGAAATACGAATAGATTATTGCTTTGAACCAGTGACGTATCCAGGATTTTTCGGTATGCTGAATCTCGACTTCCGAGTGTGGGACCCAGATGAAACTCATGAAGGGTGATGCTGGGTCCAAATGATGAAATGTTATCAAAAAAAATTTGCACTTGGCGTTTGCGAAAAAAAATTTGCATTTCCCTGATCCCTCCCTCCTAGGATTTTTTGTTGTTAGTAGCATCTTAATTTTTAGAATTTCATAGGAAGCTATACCGAATTTCATCGACAAATTTCAAATTTCGTCTAAAAATATGTAATCGTTCAAGAGTTATAACTTTTTGAATTTTTGCCACATGTTGGAACAATTTTTTCGAAATTTCAAAATATCATAACTCTTGAACGGTTGCACATTTTTAGACGAAATTTAAAATCTATCGATNACGAAATTTAAAATCTGTCGATGAAATTCGGTATAGCTTCCTATGAAATTCTAAAATCCAAGATAATACTAACAGTAAAAAATCCTAGGAGGGGGGATCAGGAAAATGCTAATTTTTTTCGCAAACTCCGAGTGCAAAATTTTTTTGATAAAATTTCATCATTTGGACTCAACATCACCCTCTATGAGTTTCATTTGGGTCCCATGCTCAGAAGTCAAGATTCAGCATACTGAAAAATCCTGGGTACATCACTGCTTTGAACTACTAATGAATTTTGAATGTTGTGGAAACGAAGTAGTTCGTAATACTCAGTAGATACCATTTATATTATATATCGTTTATAATTGTTAGTAACATATTCACATTTGATAAATATCCGAGCCAAAAAAAAAAAAAGAATTATCAATCAATGCCTGCCATCTTCGTTTCATTGAAGACAGAAATCGATCGTGAAATTTTTTTTATTTATAATAGAAGCAAAATCATTTTTCTTGATTCATATACTTACACGATGGTTTTTTTCTAGGTCTTACTGTTGGACCAAATACTGTATCAGAAGTAGTAACTGATCATCCGTTTCGTTTAACGATGGCTGCACTTGAAATTGATGATGGTAAAAAAGCACAAAACAATTCAAAGAATTTCTTTGCTTTTTTTTTTTTTTTAACAAAATTGTATTTTTATTTTAGTTTCTTCAGTAGAAGAAAGTGAATCATCAACAAATGGAATTACTCGTGTTACAATTAAATCAAGTACAGTTGATAAAGGACCACCAACTGATTTAATTTTATGTAATTTACATTATCCATCATGCCTTCAACAACCATTGGACATCGAATTTTATGATGGACAAACACTGACATTCGGTGCTAAAGGGCCACGTAAATATTCTAGTCGAACTAAAGAATTTCGTAAAGTAATAAATTGCTTTCATCAAGAACTTCATCTCATTAGATAAATCACAGTGAAATTAATGAACATCTAAATGCAATCATGTCTAAAAGTTTTCTTGAGTATATAGCTATTCTCATGGAACGTTATATGTTGCTGAGATTGCATTTCGAATCTACTTTCGTGTTTAAAATTAGTTTAAACTTTGCAGTCGAATCAAATCATTTTGAAAGTATCATCTATCTTCAAATATTCATATTAAAAATTATTTTATGCGAAAAAGTAAACTTTTGTTGTTCTAAGTATATCTTGGGATGGAATATACTGGCAAAACTTAATACTTTCATAATAAATTAATCCTAATGATAGATTTTTGAGTCTGAAAAATAGGTTCTGAAGAAGAGCGCCACATTCTGTGGCAAAACTTACTCAAATGATTATGAATGAAAGCACAAAACTTGTCGGTAAGAGTTCTCTTACGAGAAAAACATTGACACTGATACCAACCGTTTGAACTCATATTGAATCGAGAAGAACGTCTAGACGAGACTAGCAAAAGCCCACAAAACGCTTCACACGCATACGCCTTTAGTACCGAATTATAACTGTTTTCTTGAAATTTTGTCTATTCACAGAATGAATGATAGTCATATTCGAAATGAACACGATTGATAATCCATAATTCAGTAGCGTTTTATGAGAAAATGATTGATCAGCTGAACACGTTTGCTCGCGATAACTCTGTGCATCTAATGAGAAAAGATTTGTTTTAAAAGCGATTGAACACTTTGCGAAGTTTCATTCTAACTATAATTATAATAATCAAAACACTTTTTTTTTTCTCTAGATAAAATACATCTAACCGGCTATGTTCTACAACCAGAGCCACACGAAAGTAAAGAATTAATTTAAATAAAAAATATATCCAATTAGTATTTTTTTAGTATCTGAAGAAGATCATTTAACGATTAGTAAAAATAAAGATATTTTTGCAGCAGCGAATGATGATTCAAGTAGTGACGATGATGATGATGATGACGACGATGACGATGATGATGATGATGATGAAAGCGATGATGCAGAAGATTTTCATTTAACTCGTCGTCATCGATTACGTGATGATGAAGTAAATTAAAGAAAAAAATAAATATTTATGTAATATAATAAAATTTTTCTAGGATCAAGATTTAGAAGGTGATTATGAAGATGGATATCTTGAAGGTGAAGATGAATTAAGTTCAGAAACATCATCATCTGATTCAGATAATGATGTAAAACAAAAAATTTCAGCATCACCAGATAAAAGTAAATAATTATTTTCATATTTTGAAACTTTTGATTGTTTTTTTTTTTTTTTGTTTTTAAGGAAAAAAACGTTCACGTACTGAAGAAAATGGTTATTCAAATAAACAAGTAAGAATAAAGATAAATGAAATTCTTTCATTAATATATTACATATTTTAGGAACCAGAAAGAAAAAAAGTAAAAAAAAATAATAAAATCAAACAAGAACCAACAAGTACAACAACAATCACAGATACTGATGAATCTAAAAAAGCTAAAAAAGCAGTTCGTAATCAAAGAATAAATAAAAATAAAAAAATAAAAACTTAATAAATATTTAGGCAAAAAAAGCAGTAACAAAAGCAAGTACATCATTGAATGATACACAAACGAGTAGTACTAATATTGAAGAGAAAAAAAAGTCAAATTCATTAGAAATTAATGATATTCGAGTTGGTAATGGGCCAGAAGCTAAACTTGGAAAAACTGTAAGTTATGAATAAAAAATTCATTATTTTCATTTTTTTTTTAATTTATTTTAGGCTGCTGTTTATTATACCGGACGACTTAAAAGTAATAATTCAGTATTTGATTCATGTGTCAAAGGAAAACCGTATGTTATTTTATTATCAAAATTATAAAATTTGACTTTTTTTTTTTTGTCTTTTAGATTTCGATTTCGACTTGGTGCTGGTGAAGTTATTCGTGGTTGGGATCAAGGTGTTAAAGGTCAAAAACAAACAAAATATTTTAAATATTTATTTTTATTTTTTTGTTCAAATTTATTCATTTTAGGTATGCATGTTGGAGGTAAACGACGTTTAACAATTCCACCATCATTAGCTTATGGTAGTCAAAAAATACCTGATATTCCATCAAATTCAACGCTTATATTTGACATTGAACTTAAAAATGTTTTTTAGAATACGCCCCATAAGGATATATTAGGAAAACGAAAAAAAAAACAATTCATGTGTTCTTTAAAAATGTTCACCAAAAAATAGTATTTCTCATTATCATTCTTGATAAATAAAAGGACAATGTTATCAAATCAATTCGTTTTAGTTTAGTTGTATTATTATTGTTTCTTTTTTTTTGTGTTGTTGTATTCACATATTTTGTTTTATTATTCATTTGATCAATGAATCTACATTAATTATCATGCCAAACAAGATAAGTTCTTTATGAACTTCAAACTTCCCATGTCACACACCACGGATATACAGCGGCACTCATTGAGATGTGCAGGACCACGAAAAAGAGAAGTTAACGAGACTAACGAGGAAACATTCCCAAGTGATACGCACCATTTGGGTTCATATTGTGCTCATAAGTAGGACCCAATAAGGCTAGAAAAAGCCTAAAAGAGTTCGTGCCATTAGGTCTTTCTTTCAAAGTTATGACCGTTTTAGTGAATTTTCGACCTTGGGCAAGGAATTTATAGAAAAACTGAATGAAGGAATTTCGAACTGAAATTTTGCCTAACAACAGGTCTCATCGATGTTAGAAGTTTC